AAAAAAAAAAAAAAAAAAGATAGACACTTCATGTTCTTGGCTGTCTTCAGTCATCTTTGTCCACCAGCTCCCGCTGACCTGGCGCCTTCTCGGGAGAGGGAGCCGAGACTGGGCTTGAGTCCGTGCTGCAGGGGTGGAGACTTGGTGGTGACTGTGCTCTCCTCCACAGGACCAGCTTCCCAGGCTGCAGCAGCTGCTGAAGACCGTTGGGGAGGTGACTGGCCCCACCCTGCTCACCCAGCCCTGCTTCCACCTTCTGCCCAGACCTTGACCTCACCCAGGGAGGCCCCAGGGCAGTGAGGCACAGGGGTTGGGGGAGGCAGGGCTGGAGTAAAGGTCTGAGAACAGTCTCTGAAGGGGCTTTTCTCCACCCAAGGATAGACATGTCATCTAACCCCAGGCTAGTTCCTCTCCTGTAGTAGCACCTTTCATGATCTCAGCCACTCCCTTTGCCAGCTGAAGGGATGGCCTCAGTGACTTGTCACCAAGAGCTCTGCCAGCCCTGACATGGGATCTCTCTCCCCAGGGGCTGGAGGGGTTGGAGGATGCCCCCCCAGTTGAGCTACAGCTTCTGCACGAATGCAGTCCCAGCCAGGTGAGTCCAGATAGACTGCCTGGCCCTGAGGTTATATCTTCTCTCCCCTGCCTTTCCTCACTCATGTTTCCCTGCCTCACTGGGAAATTTGGGAGGGAAGTGTGTTGTTTTCTGTCTCTCAGAGCTATGGGTCACCCTGAGTGGTTTCTTTTAGACCTTAGTTCCTCCCCCTAGGGCAGCTCTCCCAGCCTTACCTGGCCCTAGAGTGTCTGTCCTACTCCTTCTGCTGCTCAGTTGGCTTGAGATAGTCTAGCAGAGGCAGACTGAGTGTCCCCATGTCCTTCCTCCCCTCCCTGCCTGGCCCTGTCAGCAGATGGACCTGCTGTGTGCCCAGCTGCAGCTCCCCCAGCTCTCGGACACAGGACTCCTGCAGCTCTGCACCTGGCTACTGGGCCTGTCACCAGATCTTAGCTTCAGCAATGCCACTGTGCTGACCAGGAGCCTCTTCCTTGGACGGGTAGGTGCACTGGCAGGCACTCAGCGTGCCAGTGACCATGGGGAAGAGTGTCTGAGCCTTCAGAAGGATGGTGCTTGGGAGAGGGCATTCCCAGCTGTGCAGGCGTTGGTCTGTCGGGCAGCCTGGGGCAAGGAAAGGATCCTGCTTAACTGGCAGGGAGTGGACCCCCAGGCTGTTTCCCTACATGGCCTCTGAGTCCTCCCTCTTGGGCCATAGAACACTTCAAGAAGCTGATCAAGGGGCTTTCAGGGATTTGGGAGCTGGGGAAGGGAGCTATGTATCTTTTCCAATGGGTGGGTCCCTGCGAGTTCTAAATAAAATAACCTGGTTTTTTCCTTTGTAATGTGTATCACCATCTGAAATAGATATCTGATAAAACGCTTGTTGAAAGGAAGAAAAAAATGAGTTTTTCCTTCCCACTGGCTGTAGATCCTCTCCCTGACTTCCTCAGCCTCTCGCCTGCTTACGACTGCCCTGACCTCCTTCTGTGCCAAGTACACCCACCCTGTCTGCAGAGCCCTCCTTGGCCCTGTGCTCCAGGCCCCAGGCATAGGTAATTCTGGAACCAGCCCCAGGCCTGGTAGCTCTGCGCTCTCTGTTCCCAGCACCCTTCATCCCAGGGTGGCCCTGGCTGGAGTTGGGATGCTTGTTGCTTCCCTCATGGTCCCAGGCTGGGCATTCTGTTCCCCCCTCGTCCCATCTTCTCCTGCCATTTCTCCCCAGACTTCTCCCTCTGCTTTCCCCTACCTAGGTCCAGCTCAAACAGAATTACTGTGTTGCCTTATGAAGGATGAGTCCCTGGAGCCAGACGCCCTGGTTCTAATGCTGGGGTGAGTGTGCAGGCCTCCATGCTGTCCCCACTCCCACCTTCTCCCCCAGGCGAGGCCTGCTCCTGGCACTCTGGGGTTGGAGCCAACCGGGCACCAAGGCCCTGTGCCTTTCCACCTGTGGGCCCTTGCAAGTTGCCATCCTGCGTACCTTCCCGAGCCCAGGGTTGCAGTCTTTGACAATTATGCCTCTGCAGGGTGTGTGGCTGGCTCCGTACCAGTGTCTTGGGAATATAGAGAAGAGGCTGGTGGTCCCTGCTCTTGGGTAGTTCACCGCATAGTTGGAACATGGCACAGTGGTAGAGAGCATTGGCTCTGGAGTCAGACAGACATGGTTTCTTTTTTTTTTTTTTCCCTGAGACAGAGTCTCTCTCTGTTGCCCGGGCTAGAATGTCGTGGCATCAGTCTAGCTCACAGCAACCTCAAACTCCTGAGCTCAAGCGATCCTCCTGCCTCAGCCTCCCGAGTAGCTGGGACTACAGGTGCATGCCACCACGCCCGGCTAATTTTTCTATTTTTAGTAGAGACAGGGTCTTGAACTCCTAACTTCAAGCGATCCTCCCACCTC